AGGTTTAATCCTTCTCCACCCCATTCAATTTCTCCCTTTTGTCCATGGGCCGTTTCCAGCTGCTCAGTGCCTCTTTTCTACTTCTAGCTACAGATCCTGGCTGGTAGCTTCAACCAAAGCACTGCTGGTGCCACAAAGCTGCTCATCATGCAGGACTGGGTGCTTGATATCCCTGCTCTGCCAAATGGGATCATTGTGGTGTCTGTGACAGAGTACATCCAGCCCTAATTCAGGCAATCTCTTCTAATAGGATTCTGCACCTCTGCTGAGATTGCACCGGGCACCACATCAGCACAAAACTATGTAGGGGATCCCCTCACCCAGCTCCTATGACATTTCTTATCTCAGCATCAGTGACAAAAGCCCTGAAATCGCTCAGCATGAAAACTATTGTCTTTGCGGACGTACTTCCTCTTCTTAGTGCTCCAGTAAAGTGCCACTCAAAGAGGAAGGCTCCAGCTACAAACAGAGCAGCAAGAATACCTGGTGGCAAAGTCTGGGAGACAGTACTTCTTAGTGAAGTGAACGCTGTTCTTTCCACATGCAAGTATGGTTGTCATTGCAGACCCCACCTGAACATCATCTCAGATCTTTTCCAATCTTTAATGGAAAAAGTTACCCAAATTCTACCCGAATCAGGCTTAGAATATCATTCTTATTAGGTAGCATGCAGATAAGTACAATTATTTAATAAGAAGAAAATTACATTTCATTTTTTAATGAGGGTGCGAATCTCCTCTGATGCATTTTTGAGGCTGAACACAGTCCAGGTCTACAACCAGGTAATTTCTAGCGGACTTCTCTAGATAGAATCTCCCTTCTACTTTTAGAAACCAGAGTGCTTTGCTTTTAAATCCCAGCTGATGTTAAAGCAACATCTTGCTCGATATAATTAGATAGATGTGAATGGGACTTACCAGCTGTCCAGGAGGAAGTCAAGAGAAATGGCCAGAGGAGCTCTGAATCCTTTGAGTTTTATATTCCTTCTTCAACTTCCAGGAAGATGAGACATGTGCATGAAGTCTTAATTACTTTCCAAACAATTTTTCCCGCATGTGTAACACTTATAATTACTATAATTATTTTAACATTGTTTACCAACATTATTCAATTCTCAGCAGTACATACTGTTACATGCTTCAGGGTTCCCCTGTGTATCGTTATGGTCTGAATTTGTTGCTGATGTGATTCTCCCACTTCCGCCTGTCTTAGTGTGGGAATGCACTGAGCTCCAGTTTGTCTGGATTTGGCTTCAGTGCTGACTGTGCAAGCAGTGGTTTGCAGATAACAAACAAAGCATTGCAGATGTGCAATGTGATATGAACCAAGCTATGGGATCTTTAATTCAGGTCCCTATATGCACCATAGCGCCTACATGGGGGCACTGTGGTGTTCATCCCTGTAAGCACTGCAGAGGAGGGGAGAGCAAAGATTTGCTGACTTCACATCCCCAATTTTGGTTATTCGGTTCCTGTTCCTTGTTTCCCAGACTATTGTCACGACTTTATAGATGGAAGCTGACATTCTGCTTGGGTATCCCCACTCATGCTCCAGGTATCAACCAGCTGGTGAGCATCTGGCACCAGTCACTGAGATCAGAAACTTAAAAAACATAATCCTGAATGATGATCAGTTGTAGAACAGAAGACTGGGGGAGAGGGGAGGGAGAGGGAGATAAGGCAAGAATGTCTGCAGATTAGAGGTAGATACAAAAATGGAAGCATTCAGTTGCAGTTTATACTTGTTGAAGACAAGAGAAGCAGTCGTGGGCCAAAAGTCCATCATGGAGAATTAAGCAGGGAGGAATTTTTTTATTCACGTGATTACTGACATGCAGGAGTTGCTGAGAGATATCACGGAGTCTCCATCCATTCATGGATGCTCTGAGCAGTGGATCTGATAAGCGGTCAGGAGGGGTTCATCTGAACAGCCTGGACAGTGGGGACATGCAACTGTTGGTGTGTGGGGATATGAGCAGAAGCCCTTCTAACCCATCTGATATGATTGCTTTTGATTTCAAACAGAAATGCAGCACTTAATGAAAATGCAAAATGCTGCGAGTTATCAGGGCTCAGAACAACATCCTGTTTGTGGGAACAGCGTAGGCACTTCAATCAAAAAAAAATGCATATTCTTAAGGTGCTATTACTCAGCCCTGAGGTGTTTATCTCAGCTGTCGTGCTATTAATAGTATAATGATAAAACTCTTTGCATGCATAAAGCGATAATGAATATTTTGGAAATGCTTTGACATTCCTTTCTGTGTGGCAACCTCACCTTACCGGTCTCAGTTGTTGGAGTTATTTCCCCCATTCTTTCACAAACAACAGTGAAAAGTTCACATAAACTTATCTGAAAAACCAGAGCCAGGATTCCAGGCTCCCCATAGAGCCCTGTTGAGCTCTGTTAATAGGGCTGGCAGACAGTTTGCATATAATTGTGCTTCATGTTTCTCAGAAAATAGGAAATTCCTGTTTCTGTGCTGCTTTACCTGCAAAGTACCCAAATACTCAAACTGGAAACTCATTGACACCTCCTCATCTGTTCAATTTTCAGATGTTATCTGCACAAAACCAACCTGGGATTGGGCTTAGCAACCCAATCCTGGACATCCTGCACCAATTAATAACAGTGCTCACTATGGAGCTTGTCTGGACAGGACATCCAGTGCTAGGATTTGAAAGGCTGTGCCAAGTGAAATTAAACACAGAGAAAGCTGCTTAGTAGCTGACCCTATCACTGCGTGCATCAGAGAAGAGCTCATCCTCTCTCAACCCTTATGTGGTGGGTGAAGGCAGAAATAAGATGAACCCAGCAAGCTCTCCTCTCACTCCCACCACCCTGACTTGTTGCCACTGCCCATCTGAACACTCAGAGACAGATGCTGAGGTCTGAATGTGGCTTTCTGAATGCCAGTGGAAGGCAAATCATCACTTTCTTCCTGCCCACACCGTGGCACAGGCAGCCTGTGGTTGGCTTTCACTGCCACAAGGATGCAGCACTGCCTCATGTCACCTCCAGGGCCATCAGAGCTACCTCACCTTCAGGGCCACCAGCTCTTCGCAGGGCTCCTGAGCTCTCTGTGAGCAGATCCAACACAATGACAGTGATGGAACATGGATCTGCTGCCAGAGCAGCTTAGGGAAGAGGGGAAATGATGTTCTCTCACCTGGGATACTGCAGGGGCCATGTAAGCATGAGCAAAGTGGTCAAAGGCACCTGGGGCTCTTCAGCCTCTCTCCAGCTGCTATCTATAAAACAGTTATATTACTGACTCTCACCAATAAAACAATATAAAAAGTCCAGGCACCATTTAATGGAGAGGCCAGCTTTTTTATTTATCAAAGCCCAAACACCTTTGTCAAAAGCAAAAAGCATAGAAACAACTTCTGATTTTTAAAAGGAAACTTTCTTCTGCTGGTCTTTCTCATGGAAACCAAAGGGGAAAATGGGCCCTTTGGTGCTTAGAGCAGCAGAGAGTAGTGAAGTGCTCTGAGCTGTGCAAGTAGCATAAATGCTGGTGGTAGAGCTTCCCCTTGTCAGCTGTGGAGCTCCATCTCCCTGTGGGGCTGCATCCTCATGCCTCTGTGATGTGTGCTACATGAAGGAGGAGCCAGGTTTACATGGAGATGGGACAGGAAAGGGGCTGAGCCAGGGGAGGCCGCCAGGACCTCGCTCAGCTTCTTCTCTTTGCATTTAACTCCCCAGGGTTGAAGTTAATATCATAAAATTGCTCAGGTTGGAAAAGACCTTCAAGGTCATCAAGTCCAACCACAACCTAACCATACTACCCTAATTCTAACAACCCACTGCTAAATCACGTCCCTAAATGAATGCTCTCTCCCTACAGGGAGTAACAATTCCGGTGTGGCAGGATTGCAAGCAGCATTGGTCTCTTTGTATGAGTAAATCTGTCACTTTATTAGAAAAAGGAGGCTATGGAAATCCTGCTCGGAGGGCTGCAGAAGAAGCAGAGAGGCCAGGAGGAGTTTAGCAGCCAGGACACTGCTCAGCATGAAGGCAGCACTGGAAGGACCTACCAGGTTCTGCAATGCACCTTTAGGTGGTGGCAGAGGGCCACTGTTCCACTGAGTGAACAAACAGGGCTGTGTGCTTTGGGACCTTATGTGTATACACCAGCTAGGCAAAATACTGATCAAGCAAGGTCACTAATTCCTGCTCTCTAGGAAGGTGTCCCCGTGTGGTAACAGCTGGAGCTGCAAGTTGTTTGTCCAACTGATGGCAGATTCATCACGGCAGACGGTTGATGCTGATCATTTTGAAAGCAGGCAGAGCCAGCCTAGAGTCACAGCATCACAGGGACCTTCGGCATCACCCTCCCACCTCTGCTATCCCAGGGGCTGTGCCACAGAACCAAATTCATAATTTGCTCAGCACTGATGAAATTACAGCAGACAGCTGCTAATGAGTCTCATTGCACTAATGAAGTTTTCCTCTGTCTCACAGCCTGCGCTGCTGCTTTTGCTGTGTCTCTGCCCAGCCTGTCTAGTCCTAACAGCATGACTGCTGTCTTTATTTTACAAAGAGGGAAAGCACAACAACAGGGAGCAGTTTTGTCAGGTGGTGTTGAAAAGAGTGGGGAAAAAAAAGACAGAAACACAAAGAAAATGACTGAGACGGCAGACAGCAGGGATCTGGCTGCAACCTGAAATTTAATACAGTGGGCACAACCAGTTAAAATCACTGATGAAGTAACAGTAACAACCTCTTGGAGTGCAAATGCTACAGCAGAGTTGTATCAGCTTAAAGCTCAAATCTGAGCACCTGCTCAGAGCTACTTAGTGTCTCATTAGCATAAATTCTGTTGCAGGAATAACTACAGGGGAACCACAGGAGGAAGGCAAGGTACCATACAAGGTTAGCATTGATTACAATAAGGGGAAGACTGGGCAAAGCACTTTCAGGGGTTAGGAACAGGGGAAAACACAACCTCAGGCCCAGCTACGTGGTTTGCTGTTGTCACAGCAGCTTCAGCCCCTTCACCAGAGACATTTGGAAGCACAGCGGCTCTTCTTGGAGTGGCTCGAACGCTTCACATCCCCCGCATGGTGCCGCGGTGAGCGCTGGATGGCACATGGGTGGAGGCACTTGGACTTGCTGATGTGCTGAGTCGACGAGCTCTTATGCTTGGCTCCCTCCTGCAGCAGCGAGCACTTGGCCAAGCGCTGCTGGGATGAGCTCACCTTCGCCCCGCTCCCGGGGGGGCACTTGGGCACCTGCTGTGAGGTGCAGGTGGTGATGCACTCCTGCGTTGGGTACCCCTTGGAGCACTTCTGGTGGGGGAAGGGGCTGATGTACTCCTCCAGGAAGCACTGTGTCACGCACTGCTGCGGGGGGCACTCGGTGACCCCCCGAAGTGGCAGGGAATAGCCGCTGGTCATCCCCTGCAAGCAGCGGTTCTCCGCACCATACCGCTGCGACAGGCACCTGGAGACCTTCCTTGACCTGCACTCATCCTTGCAGGAGGATGAATACCTGATCCCACATGGTGGGAACTTGAGTTTGCCTGGCTCTGGGCACCGTGGAGCACAGGGTGGGAGGCTCTTGGCCACGCGTTTCTTCTCCAAGTGGCCGTTCTCACAGGACTGCAGAACTCGAGCAGGGCTGAGGCGCACGCTGGGCTTCCTGCACGGCAGCAGACGTGTGGTCTCACAGGGCTCTGGACACAGCATGACACACTGCTGCACACAGGGCTGGCAGGGCAGCAGCATGCTGTGGGTCACGCTGGGCTGTGAGCACACGTAGGTGAAAGGCTGCACGTAGCTCTGCCATCTGGGCATCGGGCTCTTTATGATGCTCAGCGGGTGGCATGTGGTGCTGCATGCATCAGGTTGGGATGTGCAATGCTGGTGGCTTTCGGTGACGTAGCTGGAGCCCGGCAGGTACAGTTGTTTGTACCTCTCCCCATAATAGTGCATGGTCCTGGGAGGTTGTTAAGCCTGGAAGAAGCAGGAAGAAGAGGGACAGTTCACACCCACATTGGCTGTTTCCTGGTGATGCCTGCACCCAGTCCTGCTGGAGGTCACTGGCTGGTGATTCAGAACCCACCCGGGATTACCCAGGGGAGCTGCTCTCTGCTCCCTCCCCTATATCCTGATGAGCTCCAAAACAACCAGAGCCAGGAAAACAAAGCAGCTGCGTTCTGCCCTTCAAAAATGAGCTAAATATTAAACCTCCCCCATCCCCACTGGGACATTCTTTCAAGTTCCTATCCTGCACCTCCCAAGCACTGAGGATGAAAGACAAGCCAGAATTAAAGGTGTGCCCACGCTGCAATCCTCAGGCGTGGCTGCAGCTCAGCAGCACAAAGACAAACCATGGTTAAAAGGGCTGAGGGTGAGGACGGGTTTGTGGAGCACATCTGAGCTGAGCTGCAATCCGTGCCTGGTCCCTTATACCATAGCAGCACCTCTGCAGTCCCTGCTTTGTGCTGTCATGTGGGCAAGCATCAAGAAAAGTAAGAAGAGAAGAGCAGCAGAAGCATTCTGTTTGGTCAAACCAAGGAAGGAAAGGAAGCATCAAGGAAGAATCTCTGGCAGATTTCACCCCAGTCCTGCCCAGGTATTGGAAGCAATGGCATATGAAAAGTGCTCAGAAAATTTTCAGGTTTTTATTTTTCTTTGTTTGTTTTCATCTTAAAGTTATTTAGGAATTAAAGTCTGTAATTAAGTGATCATAAAAAAAGTGCATCTTCTGAGCACCCCTCTTTCTATCTATAATTACAGCCCAAAAGCCTGTTGCTGGCTGACTGTTAATAATAACATCACTGCGTGTTGCTATCATTATCACTATGATTACAATAATCATTGACTAATATAAACAGCCATTGAAAAACAAGAATCACAATGCTACTACTGCACATAAAATACCAAAGCATCTGGTGATGCTCAGCAAGATAAAAAAACTTCTAGAACAGGGGGATTATTCACATCCAGGGAGATGTTTGCATCCCTGGCTGTTAGCCTATGGAGAAACGTAAACACGTTCAGGTTTGTCTGGAGAATCTCTGCTGATTTCATGCTGATCCTGAAGTTGATAGGCTTCTTGCTGTCCTCTGAAAAGCTGCTTTGTTCAAATTCCATGGAATGGCAGAGAAATTCCACCAGATCCTTTAGATCAGCCGCCTTTCCACGTGTGGGCTCAATGCCTGACTCCCAGCAGCACCAAGCCCCTCACGCAGCCCATGGCTTCCTTTGGACCAGACCTAGCAGCAAGCGTAGAGAAGCCCACAAATCCTGTTCCCAATTCCTCAGTCCTTCAGGAGGTGCTTGCCCAACATCCTTCCCTTCAGCACAGAGCTGTTCCTGATGTCAGAGCCGCACACATCCCCATAGGATGTACCTCCACGAGCACAGGACCGCCGCCTGCTGCAGCCACCCAGGGGAACAGAGCAACATTTCAGCAGCTCTGTGAGAAGCCAGACTTACCCACTTCATCAGTGAGAACAACCGAAGAGAAGTGCCTAGGAGAGCCCCGTGATGGCTGAGCTTTTATATAGTGAATAAGTGCCCTGGAGGGTGAGGTGGTTTGGCCCGCGATGCTCTAATTGCTGCCAGTACCAGCCAGGCCACGTGCAGCTTCATGCTGGAGGGAATGGCCGTGCTGTTGTCACCAGGGACCATGGGGACATTGCTGAGTTGGAAGACCCTGTGAGAACATCCTGCTTCTCCCCATGCTAAGTAGAGCACCTGGATGGCCAAGGGCAACCCCTGCATGTGCTGTTAGTGGCTCTGATGCTATGAGTCCCCGTGCGTTGTGCAACAACAGCTCCTCTGCTTCACTGTGGCAAATCCAAGGCAGTAAAATGGTACTTTTCTACAGAGAAAAAGATACTGGCTGAGACAAACAGAGGAAAGGGTCTGGGCTGCCCAAGGGACTGTTCATTTCCATGGGAGCTACATGCATAAGGCCCTTTGGTGCCTTTGAAAACACCATCCAGGAAGGACTCTCGGCAACTTCTTGCAGCCCGTAATTACTGTGGCATGCAGACTTCCTCCACCTGCACAGGAGCTGAGGGTGACTGGGGCTAAGAGGCCTTGGGTGAAGGGCATGGCCACTGCTGGAATGACCCACACCAAACAAAAGGCTGTGCTGAGAGAGGATGCCTTCCCAGCACAACAAAGGGCAGAAAAAAGGGGCAGCATTGGGGCAGCTTGGGAAGGATAGCTGAATCCCTGCAGTCCTAAACACACAGATCCCCTTTCCTGCTCTTTGTTCCCTGTTTATACTAGTTTTAAACCCAAGAGGAAATTAACAGCAGCATCCAGTGCTGGCAGGGAATGAGTTTTAACACAACCATGTCTACATAAGCAAAGGCCCTGGCTTATGCCAATTAGACGCCTATCAACTGTGCTCCAGCATGCTGGGAATCTGAGAAAGGCCTTCCCTGCTGGAGCACAGAGAGTTGAAATGTGTCCTCTTGGTGGAGGAGGCGGAAAATTTCTCACCCATAACAAGGAGAAAATCTCCAGCTGCTGAATCATAGAGTGCCAGGAAAGCTCCAAGAGCAACATTAACCAAAGGGACACGTGCGCTCTCCAGGCTTACCTTGTTTTCCACAACTGAAGACAAAAGCACTCATTCCTACCCGTGCTTCCATTAGCTGTGCTTCACCCTGAATTACAACACCCTTCTTACAATTAAATGATCTTCCTTACCATGAAATGTCCCTTCCTAATATTAAATGATCTGACCCAAGGTTTTAGGAACCAAGAGCAGGAATGAAAGAGCAGCTAAGCAGATTAAGAAGATTTTTATAAGCTCCATAAATCCAGTTCATACTGTAGAACCAGGTCTGGTAGCCTTCAAGTAATCCTAATATATATTTTAGTGTTTTCAGTAAGGTAACAAAATACTAACCCGATGATAGCATCGTGCTCTGTCATCCAAACGTTCTTAATTAGCATCTGGGAAGTCCTCTAAAATCCTTTCATCTCGGGGAGACGCACAATGTAGCGCAGGGCAGAGCTGTGGGGGCTGTTATTATTCCCAATTAAGCACAGGGGAAATCGAGGCACACCGCTCTGCAGTCACCCAATGAGTCAGGGCCAGCGCCAGGCTTCAATCTGAGCTCTGTGCTCTCATGGCTACTCCACCCCATGGGATGAGCTCTGCAACTTGGGTGATTTTTGTGGTCATTCCAATTCCTACAGGGAAGTCACAGTGGTGTGAAGTCTCCCCAAAGCCTGCAGTGATGGTCTTCCCATAAAGGAATGCAAAGCACTGGGTTGCAAGATCATCCTTAGCTCCACACAGGAGAGAAGAGCCGTGGTCAGTGCCACTCATGCTCCATCCCCAGTTATCTTCCACGTGCCCTCTGAGGAGGTGGGATCTCAGCTCCCATCACACCCTGCACCCCACAGGACACAGCTGCTCCACTCTGACCACAGCCATCCCTCATCCCCCAGCACAGCCCACGATGGCACCCCAAGGTCACCAAGTGGGTCAGAACCAGGCAGGATTCAAGGCAGCATCCCAGCCTGGGTCACACCCAGCTCCTCTTGCATCACTTGTTTTGGCTCTCCCAAAAGGCATCATCGGCTTGGCGTGAACAGCCTCCGATTCATTCTCTTAATGATAGGGCATGCCATAGGATTTTTGTATTTTGCACAGACAATGTTTGTAATAAAGAAGAACCACCAAAGGGCAAAAAGACAAAATGTTTACTCTGAGGTCAGAGAACTATATTTATTTAGGTATATATATATGTATATCGTAAGTATACATATATATAGTTTGTTTTCAATACAATGCAGAGTACACATCTTCAGGCAGCATAAAGAACATAGTTTATCACTTCGGTATCTCGAACATTTATAAAGGAGTAGTGCTACAGCTTTCAGTCTGATTTCCAAGACTTTCTTTTGTTTCAGGCTTTGTTTTCCACAATAACCAAAGCAACCAAGTGAATAGAAAAAAAAAAATTTCACGTACAAAGTTTCAGCAGAACCAACTTCTCTGACCAGAGATCCTGCCTCGCTCGGGGACTCCGCTGAAGTCAGTGCGGAGTCAGCAGGGATTGCTGGCCACCTCCTGTAATGAAGGCTGTTGGAACGAGACTCAGATACATTTTGCTTAGCAAATTTACATTTGGCTTCCAAATCTGTGAGCAAAAATGACTCTTTTGGAGAATGTGCAGCCTTGGGGAATACAGAACAGCCTGGGTATCATCTCCTGAGGCCAGGACTGAGCCCAGAGCCCTTGTTGGCCACTCCATTGGTCCTCTTGATGCTGTCATCAGAGGGATTCCTTTGGCATTTCTACTTTTTTTCCCCTATTAAAACTATTCCTTTCATTGAGGTGAGAATTCAGTAACATCCCACTAAACTACTTCTTGCAGCAGAATAAGTAACAAGCCACAGATATCTGGAATGCAGGGAATAATATTTCACCTTGGCCCAAAACAGAACTGAGCTACAGGGAAAGGACTGGAAAACAGAGATAAAGCAGAATTTAACTATAGAAATAAGTTGTCAGGTGATATAAGAAGATAAATAACTTTGCCCCAAAGCCATACCTCACTGGTTTTCCATGGACCCTCCTTTTCCCTGCTCCTCTTTACCAGGGCCATTTGGATGCAGAGCAGTATTTCTTAGAATGGCTTGAAATTTTTACTCCACCTGACTGATAAGGCTGCTGTGGGACGCATTGAGTCACACTTTGCTGTGGGATACCCTTGGTGGCACACTGCTGTGGGACGCACTTGGTAACACCCTGCTGCTGTTGTGGGACACCCTTGGTGGCACACTGCTGTGGGACACACTTGGTAGCACACTGGTGCTGTTGTGGGATGCCCTTGGTGGCACACTGGTGCTGCTGTGGGATTCCTTTGGTGGCACACTGCTGCTGCTGTGGGATGCACTTGGTAGCACAATGGCACTGTTGGGGGATCCCTTTGGTGGCACACTGCTGTGGGACGCACTTGGCAACACTCTGCTGCTGTTGCGGGACACCCTTGGTGGCACACTGCTGTGGGACACACTTGGTGGCACACTGCTGCTGCTGTGGGATCCCTTTGGTGACACACTGGTGCTGCTGTGGAACACCCTTGGTGGCACACTGCTGTGGGACACACTTGGTGGCACACTGGTGCTGCTGTGGGATGTTCTTGGTGACACACTGGTGCTGCTGTGGGATGCCCTTGGTGGCACACTGGTGCTGCTGCGGGATGACCTTGGTGGCACACTGCTGTGGGACACATTTGGTGGCACACTGGTGCTGCTGCGGGACACAGATGTTTGCACCATTGGTCTCACATGGCTGAGGCACACACGTGGTCACACACCTGGTTGCACACTGTTGCTGTGGGATGCACTTGGTGGCACATTGCTGCGGGGCACAAGCGGTCACATAACGCTGCGAGATACACCTGGTGGCACGCTGCTGTGGCACACACGTGGTCACACATCTGGTTGCACACTGCTGGTGTGGGGTGTATGTGGTCATGCAGTGCTGCGGGATGCACACGGTCGCACTGTGCTGCTGGTGGATTCCCTTGGTCAGGAACGGCTGCTGCGGCATGCATGTGGTCACACACCGGGTTGAATGCTGCTGCTGCGGGATGCACTTGGTTGCACATTGTTGCTGTGGGATGAACTTGGTTGCACACTGCTGCTGGGGCACGCACTTGGTCACACATGCCTCTTGCGATGTGCATTGGGTGGCACATGACTGCTGTGGCACACAGGTTGTCACACACCTGGCGGGTGGGATGTGCTGGGTCACACGCTGTTGCTGTTGAATGCACTTGGTTGCATACTGCTGCCGTGGTATGCACTGGGTCACACACTGCTGCGGGGAGAAGCTGGATGACAGAAACCGCTGCCGAGGAGTGCAGGGGGTCACATACTGTGGGGTGCACACTGCTGACTGCCATCTGTGCATCAGAGGGTGTGTTTGGGGGCACTTAATGGAGATGTGCTCTTGGTGGAGAGGAGGAAAGCACTGCTGTTGGTAGCACAACATCTTAGTGAGGTTTTGGCAGGGCTGGAATGAGAGGTGAGAGAGCAGAGCTCTTAGAGAGGCACCCAGTGGGTGCTGGAGGTGCATCCATCCATGCCGGAGTCCAAGAGCTGCACCCAACCTGTAACTTATAACTCAAAAACATGGCAGTAAGGGGACATCTAACAGTAGGGACACCCAGAGATACACAGCGTGAAATATCCCCCTGGACCTCATCTCCCTCTACATCACTTAGACCTGCAAGAAGGAAGAACTGATCTTTGAGGTCAGAGGAGAAATTCCTCATCTGAGCTACCTTCCAACCACAAAGCCCAGGTTTTGCCCTCTGGTTTTGTTGGGGACCTCTTGCTGACGTGTTGAGAAAAAGCCACAACCCAGATGCATCTCAGATCCACCGACCCCATTTGCCACAGCAGGAGACAAGCAGCACCCAAGGCAACACTGCCTGCTGACCCCACAGCACCAGGAACATGCAGAAGCTCACAGCCTGGTTTCAGCATCACCATGTTCATTCTCATTAGGAAGCCAAAGGCAATTAAGGGGCAGCAATACCACAGCCAAACACAGCTTGCTTACAGCTCTTCTAGCACCGTGATCCCTGATACTCCAAAGCAGCTCTTCATGTTGTCAGACACCCACAAAAGCAACAGCAACAGCACCCCAATTACTGTTAACAGCTGTTCCTCAGATTGCTCACAAGTGGCCCTTGGGGTCGGATGCCCAGCTGGAGACACAGCAAGAGCACATTCCTACACTAACAGCAGCAATTCACACTCACTAGCATTAAAAACCTTAACCACAAAGCATTTCATATGTAAAAAGGCAGCAAGAAATCTGCATTTCCACAGCCGCAGAGGCTCAGCACAAAACAGACTTACCCAGCTCCCCGATGAGAACGGTGTTGTGATGTGACCAGTGAGCCCTAATGGCAGCTGACCTTTTATATAGCTGCTAAGTGTGCCCCGAAGGCATGAGGAACCCACGACACAGCCTAATAGCTCCGTGTACAAGCTGCCCTGTGTGCAATGCTCACAGTGACTAGCATCGACTCGCTCATCCTCATGGATGAGTAGTTGGATGTCCGCTCCCCGTAGTAAGTGTAATTACCTCCTGTCTAATCCTCCCTGGCATGGTAAGATTGAATGGTATTTGGAGAGGCAGTGGTGGACCCACCTGCAGAGATCTGGCAAGGGAGGAGTGTACACACCATCAAGCGGTGGTGGCTTTCCAAAGCCCTTCTCCCAGCCCCAGAAACCTCCTGGTGGACCCCAGAGGTGGGGCTGCCCCAACACACGGCCTCTTTTTGCACACAAATGGCTCTGGGAACCTCACTGAGTCCTCCGCATCCTTCTCTACCCATAATCATTGGTTAGGCCAGCACCTCCCGTCCCCACTATAACGTGCAGCTATGTGTGCAGCTGGACACAGACACTGGCTCCTCCAGGGAAAACCAGAAGCTCCCACTGGAATCCACATCACCCCCCTGGGTGGGTGATCCAGAGCCACCTGCATCCTCAGCTCACGTAGCTCTGGAGCGTGGCTGCCAATCCCAATAATCCCATGATCCCAGTGCAATCAGCATCATCAGAGCAGTGGGAAAACACCATCCAGTGACTCTCATATGAGCGGAAAAGATGATCTACAGTCACATCTGATTGCAGCCATTGCGTAACTCAGCTGTCACCAGCAGCACCAGGAGCAGATAAACTTCCTCGGGTCTTGTGGTGCCTTTGAGTGAGTCAACATCTTATCACACGCAGTGCCCAGATCAGAAAAGGGGGATATTAATTTTCTGAAGTCACTGAAGATCCAATCAACGCTTTCATGTGCATTTTGGCTCATTAAACATTCCATAAAGAGACACGTTCTCCCCACTGACTCCATGTAAAGATGTGGGGATTGAATCAGAGCAGTGCTGAGCCACAGCAGCATTGAGCACTGGGGGAGATGGAGCTCACCCCAAGGAGGGCAGCTCCTGAACATGCTCATTAGAACCTCAGTTTGTTGTGAGCTACAGAAATAGCCCTCCCATGTGATTATTGAGGCCAGGAATGAGGTCCATAAAAAGCTTCATAATGCAACTGAATATGAAAGCCTAGCAACTCTTTTGTGCAGCAATGAAAGTGGTTCTCAAGGTTTATTCATGGGTGAAAAATTGGATTTCACTAGGCAAGAATTGCAGGGAATGAAATGCTCCCTTTACCATAGGCATCTCCAGCACTGAGTGTGCTCATCGTTAGCTGAACCACAAGCAGTGTGGCTTTGTTGTGGCATCCCTCCCACGGAAACCCATTCTTTGATCCAAAGCCATAACTCCTCACTGCTTTTCAGCTCCAAAGCTTGCAGGTCTGATCCTCCCTGTTACTGAGGTGAGCAATTCACATTTGTGTTAGTTTTACCCTAGTCTGGATACAGGCACTGCCCCAACCTTTAAACAAATCCTTGTTTCATTCAGTACTTGGATGCAACCCATGCATACCTGCCTAACTCACTGAAAGCCATAGCAAATTTAATTAGCAGATCCCAATGACAACTTGCCTTTCATGTCCATACCCCATTATGTGTACATGAATATGCATCCAAATCCACTTTCTCAGCACACTCCAAAGCTGCAGACTCAAAGAAGGAAAAACCACTGAGGATCCACTTTAATTTTGGCAGCAGGGCAACTTGGGAGACTTTCACTGCATGGCATTGGAATGAGCATTTCACTCTCACACGATGACACCTGTCAAAAATGTGTGCTTCTGTTGTCACCTGCTCACACCCCAATAGAATCCACCTCCTCCCAGCAGTGGTTGTCACCTATGGGAATTTTCTGGGCTCTTTTCAATGTACCTGGCTGATCTGGCAGCATGGGCAACAGCTTGAGATAGAAGTGGAAAATTAAGTTAGAATAGAGCCAAGGTATCTTCCCATGGAGAGAGGAGATGAAAAAACTCCTGGAGGAGATGCCAGGGGAGATGCTGGGAAACCACTGCCTTCTCTTTAATAAGCCAGGAATGCAAAGCAGCACCGTCACACAGTGGCATTTTGGGAGCATGAGCTAATGCCCCAGGAATGCACAGCTCCTGGCCAGCTCCAGATATAGAAGTGTGGTTGGAAGAGCAAGCAGGCGAGAAAAGAAGATGGAAGAAACAAAGTAAATAGGACAGGTGTGATCCAAGACACCAGGCTGAAATCTCAGGCAGCATAGAATTAGCCTTGCTCCATTAAATTTAACAAGAAAACAGTGATTAACAAGACAGAGTTGTAAAGCAGAAGGGAGCTACAACAGTAAAATAGTGCTTAACATTGTGCATGTGGGGCTACAGCAGAGGCAAACGAGAGGGCCTTTCCTTGAAGAAAGGATTTGGAGGAGTACCATCACGGACAAGTTCTGCTCAACACCTCACAAGCTTAAGGAGAACTCTCGGGTGCCAACCACTGGTTACAGTCACTGCACAGGTCTGGGGTGGCCACATCCTCCAGCACTGCCAAAGCCATGTCCTCAGAGCCCTACAAGCCACTAGAGCGCAGCATATGCACACATAAACCACCTCCTGCAGCAGCTTTGCACAGACAACAGCAGCACTGAATGCGTTTCCCAATGCTCTCTGCTCTCCAAGAAAAGAATCTGCCTGACCTGGCAGCCTGTGAGCTCAGCTCAAATTGCTGCCTTTGCATCAGAGCACTGTAACGTCTGAATGCTCCTCAAAGCAGTGCAGGTATTGAACCAAAGCCATCAGTGCATCCTGCAGCCCACCTGAAGACTCATGTCTCCATTCCAGCTGCTTACATGCATGCGTGTTTCTGGGCATTGAAAACAATTTGAAACAGATGCCAGGCTGCAAGCAAGGAGCTTCACAGTAAGGGGAAGGTGAAGAATAGGGAAAAAGAAGAGAATAAGCAGACATGGCATATTTTTATTGTATCAGACTTGTAATTAGATAGCAGCGTACAAGCTGCAGATAATAAAACACTGTATTATTAGCCTAGCAAGCTGTAAAATTGCAGTATAGATGTTTCAATGATTTAACAGTGCTGAAGGCAACATACAAACCTCCTCATCATCATGCATTAAAAAAAAAATAAAAATCTTCTCTTAGACTCCTTACTGTATTTTAAAAGCTTCTTATTACTTAATGAACTCTTGCTGTTTTGCAATTAGCAGCCCCAGTGCACCTCTTTGTTCTGGCTGCCACCAGGCTCCATGAGGTCAACCTCTGCAGAAAGTTTGACTGCATGATTGCAATAGCTCTGGTGACTTGAAGTTGAAGTTTCAACACTGCCCCTAGCACCACATCCATTAGATACACCAACTAGGCTTCCAGTGCAAGAGAAGCTGGGATGCTGCTGCTACCAGCACCTGATTGCATCCAAAACATGATTGCCACTTCAGTGTTGGTTTGCAACCCCTAACTGCAAACTTTGCTGCTTTGGGATTTGCCCCTTCCTCCCCTCCTTGGGTTTGGGAGGATTTCTATCAGCCAGGGTTCATTATTAATTCAGATGCTCTCCACATACTGAACTTTAAAAGTTTCCCTTTTCTATAGCAATTCAACTAGCAGCATGGTTTTAGGATTAACACGTTTGTATAATCTCTGGACCTGATCCTTTTCCTGTAATCTCTTTGTACAGTGGTATGATGCCATCAAAGTCATGAGATTGGCACAGGTATGATTCAGATTATCTCCATTAATCTGTGGCATTAAGCAGATGCAGAAACAGCTGGAGAAGAATTGGTCTTTCCATAAGAGCCTGCAGCTCCTGCTATTCAATCTCAGTTAATTCCATTTGCAATAGGAAGAGTCCGAAATTGCCACTGCTGAACTATAACTCCACAGTAAGTCATATTTTGCACAGCCTTCCCAACAATATTTAACAGATTCACCAGAATACAACTCACCCCACCCATCAGTGAAGCAATGAATCAATGCAAAGGTAGAGGGAGGGCCTGAAGTGTCAGAAAAGTCCTTATAACCCCCAGGAGCTCGATTTCCCAGGAAGGCTCTAGAGCACAG